CTTTTTTCCTTTCCCTTCCCTCCTCTCCTTTATTTTCTTTACATGTATTGATCCACCCATCCACCCATCCACATACCTACCCACCTATCCTCTTACTTGGCATCTGGTAGCACAAAAAATACAATGAGGCAGATCCACAGACTGCCAGCCTCTGGCTGCCAGATTATCAACCTCTCAAGCTTAGCGAGAGTAGTGTTTTGTAATGGGCCAACTGTAAAAGAAATGGGGACTTGTTTATTGCTGTATTATTTAAAATTGGAAAGACATGGAAACAACCCAAATGCCCAAAAGTGGATGACTGGATTAAAAAGATGTGGTACGTATACACAATGGAATATAACTCAGCAACCAAAATAAATAAATAAATAAATAAATAAACATATGCCTTTTGCAGCAACATGGATAGAGCTGGAAAAGATCATGTATAGTGAAATAAGCCAGAAAGAAAAGAAAAAATACCGAATGGTTTTACTCATAGCAGGAGTATAACGGACGAGGTGAGAAAATAATAATAATAATAATAATAATCATCATCATCATCATCATAATAATAATAATGATCAACAGTTATATTCCAGAGACATTTTATGGAGGTGGAGTGGGGAATGAGATAAAAAAGACTGGACTTTGGTGATGGTGCATGGATGATTTGGTGATGGGAAGCCCCAGGGGATCACAACTGAGGTGGAAACATGCACAAAATGATGGAAAAATAAACTATTGAAAAAAAATTAAACAAACATTTGGAAATAAAAAAATGGATTTCTACAATTAAAAAAAAAAATGAAGACTAAGCCCACACAACCACAATAGAGCTAATGAGAACTACAAAAATCTTCCACAATATTCAAAGCAAATACAACTACATGACATTCTACCTGCATTCCAAAAAAATGTCACAGTAGATTTTTTCTGTGATATCTTTCTTTACAATTAATATCTTCATTTGAATTTCCCATAATGGTACAGAGAAAAAGGAAACCATGATACAAAGTTGCCTCACTGTTGGAACAATTGGAACTTCATTATTTATTTATAACTGTGAAGGGCTTGCTGATTCTTGTGTATTCGGCAATACCAAAACACAGCCTTCCTAAGATTTAGATACACAAAGTAAAAAATTCTGAGAACAGTATATCCATGTTCTCACAAGTTCAATTTAGAAACAATTATTTACCTTTAGCATTAAGCAAACACAGAGTATTCTATTTTGAAGAAATTCCACCAGCAATCCAAGAACTACTATGTCATCAAATATTTTATACCAACATGTTGGTTATTGGAGTGTCAGGTAAGTGGAAATCATTGTTTTTAAATTATAACATGGTCTGATATAATCATAGGGACTTCTAGATTCAATGGTTAAGTTGGTTATCATCTCCTCAAGAGATATATCGTCATAGCTGCACTATCTTATATAGTCTACAAGCGACTCAGGTGTTTGGTAGCAGTCATTAGTGAAGCTTTCCACTACAATTTGAAACATATGTCTAAATACTGTTTTTGAAAACTATAAAAGTGTTAAAGTACCAACATACAAAGTCTATGTAAAGGTACCAGATACTCATGTGGTAAGAAAAGTCAAAAAAAATGTGCAAAACTTATTTCATATTGTCTTCTATTTGAGTAAACACTGTTGCAGCTTATAAAATTTGGAAAATTCCCTCAATTAAATATAAATATTTTATAGACGTTCATGAAAAAAAAATAAAATTTAACATCAAAATCTACCTTTAGGGCATTAATTCCAAAGGAAACAGTTATTTATTTTCTGAGACATTAGGGAGACATGACTCTAAATGTTTTTTAAAAGATTTATTTTTTATTTATGCATATAGAACTGGGGTACAGGCCAGAGGTGCCGGGATGGTGAGAGGATTCACCAGAGACAGAGTGGGGAGCAGAACAGGCAGATGAAGGAAGTACACTGCTGAGGGGAGCAGTGGGCAGGTCAGGAGAGGTCTGCCTCGACATGTAGATCACCTCCAGGGTGGGGATCGAACTCATGCTAAAGTGGCTTTAGCTTCTGAGTGCTGTGCTTTAACCCACTTGCCATTAATGGGGGCCTCTAAATGGTTTTCACTTGAGGAAAATATTTTGTTTCCAAATTCAAACTACACTTTGGATGATCAGAGAGCAACACCTAAAAGCAATTCTTGGTAGTCATTTATATGGAGGTTATATCTTTGGAGAATAATGTTTGCATGCACTTGACACTTAGCTTTTGTTTTCATGAGGTTATTTCATTAAATAAAATCAAAATCAAAGGGCAGAGTTATGATGATTTTCAATTCATTTTGACAATTTTTTTTTTTTTTTTTTTTGCAGTTCCAGGTACTGTGATATGCTTTCAGGGTAGTTATATAATAAGGAGAAATGGAAACTTGAGAGAAATGTGCAGTTTAAGAATACATATATAGGAGACTGAATTAAGCACTGAGTAAAGTCCTAGAAGTGAGTAAATTAAATTTGAAGCATGAGGTTTGAAATATTAATGCTACAAACAATTCAACTGCAGTAAATGCAAATATTGAGCTCAGGAAATAGCAATGACTATTTATATACTATTTATATACATTTGGGATTCACTTGCACAAAAAAGGTAGATAAAACCAAATGTATGAATGAAGTGATAAAAGAATCGGTTAAAAAAAAAAAGATCATAGATAAAGGAACCTCAGGTGAATAGCCACATTCATGGACAGGAAAATGTCAGAGTAATGACTGGGAGAAGGGGGACTTATGTAACTCCTCACGGAAGCAACAGGTAAAGAGAGAGTCTACAGTGGCAAGATGCAAAGAGCAGAGAAAGGTATTTCACTGGTTATGGCAACTGGATTTTCTTGTCATGAGATCACTAAAGACATCTGCAAAGTCAGCAGTATAACAGAGGTGGTAACTCACCAGTTAGGGTGAGGTCTGCCTCCAACTCTTGCATAAGGCTTCTAAGCAGAAGATTCAATGGAGGATGAAAGAGAAGAATGAAGGGAGTGGGAATATAATTGACAAGGAAAGCTTCTGGAAATGCAGGATGTGATAAAGTTGAAGATAGAGTGGGTAACGGTTAGTCTGGACAGAAAGAATGATACCTCATGTATGGGGCAAAGGGAAGACCACTGAAAACATACTAGACATATCCACTAGTAGGGAAGGGTGCCAAATAGTATCTGACAGAAGTTTCTCAATCTCAGCCCTGTACAAACTGAAATTATGTGAAAGTGAAGTATTCAGATCTGGGTTTTAAGTATAAGAATGAATAAACAAGGATATAATAAGAATTTTGAAAGAAAATCATACTTGGCAATTTCATTTAGCTAGTGAAAATATCTCTATCAAATTGAATGAAAATTGAAAGCAATTCATTCTTTAGCTCAAAATACAAATTTTACTGCTGCCTACAACTGAATGGGTTTTACAGACGCATTTTTGGCATCTATTTATTAAACTAGCAGAGAAACTACCAAGTTTCATGGAGCAGTACCGATAAAACAATAGGAGTTCCATTAGTGCCTATAAAGTTTACAGAGATATTGAAAAGTATTAATTACTGCCTGACCAGCAAGCTAGAACTCTGTTTGCTTGAGCAGTAAATCTCAACATTTATTATGTATCAGAATTGCCTGGAGGATTTGTTAAAACACAGATGTCTGGGAACCTTCTCCAAAGTTGAAGCCCCCAAATTTTCATTCTAATAAGTTGTTGGGTGATATTTATTTTGTTGGTCAAGAGACCACACATTGAGACCCACTGTACAAGGCTAGTCATTTCATTTCATAGAAGATATGTGTATGATTAACAGTATTTTCACCCACAATGTCTATTAAAGAAAGACAACTAACTAAAAATTGGTAATGTATTTAAAATTGTAACACTAAAACTTTCAAAGAACTCATTTGTATTCTAGTTATTCATATCCAAATATTATTTTAAATATACAGATGAATCATTATCATTATCACTAAGAGAAGAAATTTATGAAAAAGACACAGACTTTCATTTCACTTGAAATAATTGTTTATGTTTAAAATTTCCCATCCTGGGCCATCCCTGGTGGCACAGCGGGTTAAAACACAGCACTGAGAAGCCAAAGCCACTTCCGCATGAGTTCGATTCCCGCCTGCCCTGGAGGTGACCACATGGTGTGGCAGACCTCTCCTGATCCACCCGCTGCTCCCCTCAGCAGTGTACTTCTTAGATTTGCCTGTTCTGTTCCCCACTCTGTCTCTGGTGAGGCCTCTCACCACCCCTGAGCCTCTGGCCTATACTCCAGTTCTGTATGCACAAATAAATAAATCTTAAAAAAAAAAAATTCCCATTCTGCATAAGAGATGATGGTGGTGGACTGCAGGTGCTTTGATGGTGCGTGCTTTTCAGCATAATGCAAACAATGTAGACCAATGTTAATGAAAATGTTATTTTAAAAAAGTAAGGACCCTCCCTGGTGGCACAGGGGGTTGAGGCAGCACTGCAAGCTAGCTTCAGGCACTTCAATGCAAGTTTGATCCCCTGCCTCAGAGGTGACCAACATGGCCCAGCAAACCTCTCCTGTTTGCCCACTGTTCCCCTCAGCAGTGCACTTCATTGATTTGCCTGTTTTGCTCTCCACTCTGTCTCTGGTGAATCCTCTCACTGCCCCTGCACCTCTGACCTGTACCCCAGTTCTGTACGCATAAATAAAATAAATCTTTAAAAAATAAAAAAGAAGAAAGGTAAATAAAATTTCCCCTACCTTTCTTGAACTCATGATTATTATATTTCACTATAGTAGGTGGCGGGAACTGTTCTAGGGTCACTTTTATATAAATAAACCTATTTATTCATTAAAACAACCCTATCAAGTAACTTATTTAAACTTAATCTACAGATGTGGAAATTAAGACATGGAATTCCTCATTGAGAGTATCAAGTAGAAGCAAATTGAAATGTTTCTGACTCCAATTCCAAGGCCCTTATTACCAAACACTTTTTACTGCACACAAAATTTGAACTCAAATACTTACCTGTTCCAAGAAAAAGAACATGGTATCTACCATCTGCAGCATTCACTCTATCCACAGCTATCTTTGTGTACTTATAATCAGTGCCTATACGAACAATTAGAGGTCTTCTGTGGATTGGGTAGATAGAATTGTACATGAGAGGATGGTTCCGAATAAAAGTGACAACATCATCTGGGAACTCCTTGGTGGTTCGTAAATTAGGTGTAAATGCTCCTCCTGGACACTAAAACAAACAAGCAAACATATATTATATGTGTGTGTATATATATATATATATATATATGTAATATTTGTTAGTTTTTAAATTTGTGACCTAATGTGGAGAAACCAACAGGACTATATATATACTATTTGTGGAAAATATTTATACAAGATGTATAATTTGAATGAGGCTAACTGCACTTACCTTACCTAAACGTTTTTGGACAGAAGATGATACCATTTTCACTATTCTCATTCATTTTATTTTCTTACCTGTGCCAGATATGGCATTATTAAAAAAAAAGTATATATATATATATATTGCTACAACTGGCAAAATAAATTCAACAAATTCAACCACATAACAACAGACCAGGCCCATACACGGGCCTGTAGGCCGTGCTAAACTGTTGTGATTTTATTCTAGGAGTAGCTGAAGTCTTTTCTAGTGGGAAAACATTAAGTCATATTTACCACATCCAGAAAGCTTCAGCTTAGAAGGGTTCTCTTTTCACAGGCGGGCATCATAAAGAATAAATCTTCAGTGCATAAGAGATGTGGATGAATTTGTTGAATCTGCATAGTAGTTTCTGCAGGTTCTAAGCCTTAAATATACTCCCCTTCCAGGACTCGTTGCTTGCTATTCCCCACCTAGAATACTCTTCTTCAGACATTATGGCATGCTCTGTTGCTTTATTCAGCTCTCAGCTCAAAAGATACTTCCTGAGAGGTGATGACACATTAAAATTGGCTCCATGTACATACTCTCTTCTTAGCTTGCTTTATTTTTCTTCACAAACTCATTTTTATAACTATATATTCCATTAGTTGTGTCTTTTTGTGTGTATGCAACACACAAATTAAATTGTGTGTTGACCATAACTGGGTATATTTTGTTCATTGTTTCACCCTCGGAACTTTAACAAAGTTGAAAAACAAGATATTTGATAATGTCTACTATTTGTAATTTAATGAGGGAGTCTACTATATCTGATATTCAATTCTGGTGTATGGGTTATGTGAAACACGGCTCTCAATTCTGGCCAGAAAAGAAAGGATACAGAGCATCAAGTTTAAAGGGGCAGACAGAAAGTAATTATGTGATCTGAGAAAGGACTGCTGGACAGCTACCGTGGTTCTGGAAAGGGAACATGGCAAGGGCTTCTGAGGAGAAGATTCCATTTATAGGGCATTTGAGGCCAAACTCAAGAGTAGTCTGGTAGCTGCTTAAACTTGGAATACAAACTCACTCATTAATAGGATACAGTGCTTAAGTTATAGGCACAAACTTTATACTCACATAGCTGGTGTAATCTTTGAACACAGACATATCAGTCCAACCTTATTAGACACCCATCCATTACTTTCCTTTCAGTAAATTCTTTGTCTTATTTTTCTTGAAACAATATAATGCTTGCTTTAATTTTTACCTATGCTCTTTACAGACGTATAAGGTAAAAGGAAAGCAATGAAGCAGGCTTCCTGACCAATAGCAGTGGGTACAGCATCCATGGTAAACAGTAGGATATATGTGGACAAAAGACTGGAAAATTAGGCTTCATTCATAGGGGGCAATGAAAAATTATTTCTAGGCAGTATCCCCTCTGCAGGAATATAAACCTAGTATGGCTGATTTCAACAGAAGACGAGAATGTGGAATTTCATGAGCAATCTGCCAAATTTTTAATGTTCACCACTGAAAACAAGAAAAAACTTTAGAAATCAAACAAAACATGGCAACCTCTGGGTTAAATCCTTGCAATAGTTAGCTAAGAATGTTCCTTCCTCGGTCACGATGCCAGGCAGACCCACATTTGCAAACAAGCCAACAGATGACTAATGCAGCCACACTCATAAAGACTGTATCATCCTTTTACATATTTAGGTTGTAAGCAGTTAACATTATTAAAAATTTTACAGGACCAGAAAATATAGTATTCTTTTTATAGAAGGTACAAAGAGCAATAACTGTCTTCACTAAGGAGAGAAAACAAGATGATAAAACTAAACTTCTTATTCATTATCCCATTGACTAGACTTTCATCTGGGGCTCCTATGCTTTTCTTAAGGGAAGAGGTATTTTATATAAATATACATGTTTATAAATTACACAGTGAAGACCAAATGAGGACAAAGAATTTCATTTGAGGGTGTTTTAAGCTGATGGATGTGTTCCATGCTTCAAAAAAGCATAGAATTATAGGTATTTTCTACCCTCATCATTCACACAAAGTGGAAAAAGGGAACTACTCTGCTCACAGAGTGAAACATGGAAAGAACAAATGAATGAGCAATTTAAATAGTTCCAGCCCTTCTTCAAAGACCACTAATTATGGTTTGCCAAACTGAGATATCTCCCTAAATATTTGCAAGCACTCATTTGTAAGCTCTAGAAAGTTCCAAAGTTAGCAAGCATTACTAGGCCAATTGTATGATTTCTAGTTAGCACATATTTTCATATGTGATAAGCTTATTAAATATGTTAGTTTCTAGTTTCTGGGTTTTATTTAATGATAATTGAAATTAATATACAATTATGTTTTAGTATTCCAAAGTTATAGTTATTGAATAAGTAACCCAAACAAAACAAAAATCAGTTATTTTTTATTGATCCTAGATATCCACCCTTTGGTACCTTTCTTTATATTCACAATAAACTTCCTGCTTAGAAAGAAGCATTTCGTAGTATGAGTTTATTTTCTAAATTATAGTTCTTTTGACAATTAACTTCATTAATTCATGGCATAAATTTTGATTATCCTTTACAGATTCTCTTTCTGGGCTTCTGAGTTTGTTTAGCATAATACTGCCAGGTGTAATTAAGATAGGATTTGTCCTTCACCTTGCAATGCAATGTATGAAGAAAGCATATATACTGAAATCTCAACAGAACAGATCCATGTGCTAACATAAAATAATGCCTTTGACCACTAATTAGGCTTATGTATTAGTACTTCAGAGGGAAAATTTAACTCTACGTAGAGTCATTAAGTAATTTTGGTTAAACTTTTCTTTTTTTAAGTATTTATTCTTCCCCAGGTCTGGATTTTAGTTTATCTAGCAGTGATAAGCACTCCTTTCTTGGGTAAAGGCTTTTGAAATGTTTTGATTACTAAAACAGGTGAACTGCTAGGAATAATAAGAATACTATGTTATAGCATATCAGCAACTGTTGCCCTTACATTATTTTCCTCCTGTTCTTTGGTATTCCTAAGCCTCTGCCATTCTCCAATGTACCTAAATATTCTCCTAATCCTTACCATTATATAAGCTTTCAGTATTAAATTATTTACATATTAATTCACACATCTATTATTTAGACAGTTTCTATTCACAAAGTATTTTGATATAAGAAAATGGACACACTCAAAGCAAAATAACTAGCTATATAATAATAATTTAAGACAAATATAAATAAATATTAGCTTGATTTATTATCAACTGCTGTATATGTTTAAAAATCAAACATTTTTGAACAATTAGAATAGTGGATCACTTAACGGCTGCTAAGTCAGTGAAGCAGTTTAAAGACATGTAAGCAAAGTTTGAGGTATTTAGAAAATTGCAATTCCTGGGACATTATTGGACTATAAGATATAAAGGGGGAGAAAACAGGTAGTAATTGAGGCCAAAAAAGCAGAGAATAAATGTAAAACTAGAGGAGAGATTGGCATGGTTAGTGGGGGGCTTGAACTGATACTTGAAATGTGAGTAGTACATGGATAAACAGATGGATTTGGTGGCATCTCAGACGCTAGACTAGTTTCTAACATTGGTATGTGGAACTTGTGTCTAAGAGAAACTGATCTTATATTTAAACCCTTGGCGGTCTAGGCCCTTTATTTAAAGTCCAAAGATTCACACAGTTGATGACTTGTATTCAGGCTTTAGAAGCCATCCTTTCCCTTACATTTGTATTTTACTATTTACAAGAGCCCTCTGTTCTAGTTCCACTAGCCCATGCAGAGATCCTAGGACTCATTTATTTCCATCTTTGCCTTGTGACGTATGCTGCAAACTTTTCCTGAAAAACCTTTTCTTACTTATCAACAGCCAACAGCTCAGTCTCATGCTTGTTTTACATCTTCCCAACAAGACTGACCCAGAACTGTCCTCTAAACTGCAATAAAACTGCTGTCTGTTTTATTCACACATAGTGAATAATGATGTAAAACAATAAGTAATTGACTTTCCATGTCTATTTGCCTTCTGTTTTCAATATTTACTGACTTAATGCTTTTAAACAGTGAAAAGAAATAGAAATACTTCTACTGTAAGAACGAAGAGAAGATGCATATAAACAGTGTGCCTTGGTGGTGGGAGTGCTTTGGTAACAGAAAGCTGAAGAGATGTGGACCTATCCTTTTGAATCACATACAGTCTTGTCAATCAGTTTTGCTGCAATCAAAATATATACAAAATATATCTTAAAAAAACTAACTGAAAAAAATACAAGCTAAAAACAAATAATAATGAATTAACAAAAACAAAATTAAAGGAGATATATCTATTTAATCAGCAAAAAGTGCTAACAAAGTATTTTTTTTTTTTTTTTTGGCCACTGTGGACTCTGGATTATGATTCTGTGACATTTTATTGAACTTGGGACAAGGTATGTTCAAAGCATGATGACGAAATTGAATGGTTCTACTTCAATGATAAATAGATGTGAAAACTAAACATTTTTAATAGGTTCTACTTTAACAAGATTGTATATACAAACACATACTTCTAGTAAAGCTTATACATGTTGCAAGAGAATAATGTAATATGTTAGCTCAGCCACAGAGAGAAGCTGCAGTTTTTGGCTGCCCTTTGCAACATACCAAAGGTGTCTTGTTTCTTCCACAAACTTGAATTACTTATGGAAAAACATTATGACACAATTGGCAGGCTTATTCCTACTGAGTTTCTGGTTGGGCAGCTTGCTAACACAGCTATCAACCCTGCTTTAAAAGAAGCACCTACAGGGAACGAAAGAATGAGAGTATAAAATTTCTACCAGTGTCACTTCCGTAAGACTCCAGTCATATATTTGTGAAGTTGACCTGGCAACTGAACTACTGTGTAGGGAAATAAAGTTGATCTATCTTTGGGAGGACTTCAGAGGCAACATTCTTAACCCGAGACAAGAGGGAATGCTTTAGGTCACTTGGCTGTAGGTCTTCTGGCTACATGAGCAGGATATTAAGCCCTGAGTGCCAAGGGAAGACAGAATAGAAATACACTGTCCATTCTAAGTCAGAGAGCTGACTTCATGCTGTATTGCTCAGTGAAGGGTGGAGAGACCAAATCTCAAGAAGGTATGCTTTTCCAGGAGGATTTCCAGAGGTCATTCCTCCACCCTGCTGATTTTATTCCCTAAGGATCACTCATCTGACAATTTTTTTAATTTAAAGGAGCTGTTCTGGTCTCAGCACCAGATGTACAAAACCACATTATAGAAGTATGTTTCAAGTACTGACTACTCCCTTTTTTATGGCGTTTGTTCCAGATGTGTGTCACTAAGTCCTTCCTGGCCTATTCCATGCAACAATCAAGAAAGGGGAAAAAACAATGCTTTTCCTCAAGAGCTCAGAAATAGAGAAAAGTAGAACTTTTGGAGAATTTTCTACTGTAGCACCGACTTATTTTGTTTTAGTAAAAATGGTCTCTCTGTTGGCATATTTTATGTGGAATAATAACTATTCAACATAGGTAGTTTTCTGTGACCCTTATCGTCCTTTAGAGTTGCCATTTGGGTGAAGAGTCTGATGAGGGATGTTGGGGAGTTTCTTCAAAAAAAATCCTCAATTTGTAATACTGACCATTTTCTGTGCTGCAAATATTCCCATCATGACTCATATTACTACTCTGATGTTACTATTCTGATGGCCTTAACTGAGACAAGGCACATGCAATCTGAACTTATGAGCTGTATATAAGCTAACTCCAGCACACACTTGTTAATACTCTCAGGCCTAGAACCCTGATCAATTAGCAAGACTCTCTTTCATTTGTCTTATTTGTTTATTTGAGTTTTTCTTTCAAGGTTTCATTGGGGGCAATGAAGATTTGTTGAGTACTAGCCCCATCTCTACATATTTCAAAGAATTATGTAATGAAGAAAGCATATGCAATTACAATCACTTTCTGAATGGTCTATAGTAGAAGTAAACAACTACTTGGTCAGCATCAATTAGTAAGTAATTCTCTAAAATATGATTGATCTTTGGATAAAATGTCAGCAAATCATTTGGAAATGCATGAAATGCATGGAATGTATTAATGAGGGCCTTCAGTTACAATAGATTTTTAAAAGATTAATAGATTTTAATAATTTACTAGCTTTTAAAAATTGTCCAGCTTTATCTTTCCCTTCTCTACTGTAATAGTGCTTCTCATCAGACACACTCCAAATTGAGCCACCCTAAGAGGGGCTTTTATGTAAAATACTTTTGTGCATTCTTTAAAGAACTCTGAACATCATAGAGATCATTTATAAAGAGATCGCGACTCCTAAGGTAGAACTTGATTACCAGTCGTCATTAATATAGCCTTTAATAATGGATTTAATTACTTCATGGACAAGTAGCAATAGTAATAACTCTCCAAAGTTAATTAGAAGTTAACCGTCCTATATAAATACACATCAATAATTAATTTTTGTGCTTCCTGGCCAGGAAACCAAGAGAACTATAGCTTTCTTATAATTTGCTCTAATTCAGCCAATTTTTAATTGCTCAAGCTGCATACAGTTAAGTAAACTTAATCTGTACATTACTTCATGAAATTTTTATTTGCTTTGTAACAATACTTTTATAGTAATTATTTGCATACATGTTCCATTGCCTTTTTTTGATAAATATATAATATATATTCTTAAACTAAATCTATCTCTTAAATTAAAATATATCCCATGAGTGCTCTCTAAATTAATTTTACGTGGTTATTCCTTCATTAAAATAGATGAGGTTCCTTATTATAAGGAAGAGCTGTGAAACAGAACTAGCATCTAAATTCTTAGGCTGCCACTGAAATGCTAACACTTTCAAAGCTATAGTTTTTATGCCAATAAACTTAAGTCAAATATCTCTACTTTAATATACCCAGTTGTCTTGAAATTTAAATAAAACTGATTTAGTAACAGAACTTAGGAAAATTTGTAGAGAGTGCTACAATCTGTATAGCATATTAGTAAAAATCCCAATTATGGAACTATGAGTTGAAAATTATAATGGATATTTTAATAGAGCCTATCATTTCATTTAATAAACTTCAATACTGTATTTTGTTGTAATCAAATTACATTGTTTTTAATAAACAAAATAATAAGGAAAATTTCCTGCATACTTACAGTTCCAGGACGAGGATAAGGAATTCTACCCTGATAGGAAATCAGCTGATGATTGGGTCCTTCTTTGTGAGCAAAAGGTCCATTAAATACAGTCTGGATATCAGATAAATGATAAACACACACTGCTGATCCTTTAAAAACTGAGCTAAAAAAAAAAAGGAAGTCAGTTGTCTTACTTCTTAATTTAAATATAATTTAAAAAATACATAACAAAGTTTTTCATAAAAGCTTGATATAATTCATCAAGAAAAAATTGAATGTAATGATATATTTTGAAATGATCTGAAATGTTATTGATCAGTACACAAAGTATGAAAACAATCTATGGAGGCAGTAGAGATTAATAAACTACAGGGAAAAAAAATCAGTGTATACAGGAATGTGTACAGAAAGGGTAAGAACATAGAACACCTCCTGAAATAAATAATACTTGTGATTGGGTACCTTGGGAAATAGCAAATTATTCCAAAAAATTAAAAATAAAACATGAAATACCATCATATAGGATATAAGTACTAGTTCAGTGTTTGTGTATTTCTAAAGAATTATCACTCAAATTGTTCCAGAAGGAAAACAATTTTAAAGAAATATACAATTTATTTGAATCACAGTTCTTCAAGTGATTTCCCTAAAATACTGTATACATTTTCTTCCTGAATTATAATTGTTTTCCCTGAGGAAATAAAAAGTAACCATAAGTACTTTGTACAAACTATTTTGAAAGCATTAGTTTAGCTCAAATATACTTTGGTAATCAGGCAAAAGCAATAAAATGGGAGTTTACATCCTAATGCTATGTAAAATACAAAGTTGAAGCTAAAAATCTTTTTATGATAACTGCTTATATAAATATTACTTAATGCATAAAATCAATAACTTTAATAATTACCTCGACGTTGTAAAAATGCCATATATTAGTGTTGTCCTTGGGTTATCCGTTTCCAGCAGAAACACATCCTCTATAAAAGGGAAATAGTATTCTTTCTAAGTTCCCAAATTATAAACAATTTTTAAATTATTCTAAGGAAATAATTTTAACTAAGAAAAGCATCATTTAGAAAGATATTTTTGCAACATATTATGATTTGGAAGCAACTACATGGCAGGTACATCGTAAAGACCATAAAAATACTTAAAAGACTTATTAAGACTTTGCAACCTTATGGAAACCATACATACTAATGACATAATATTAAGTAGAAAAGACATAATATGGGCTAGAGCAAAAAAGGCATAATATGTACTAGAGCCAAAAAAAAAAAAACTTGAAATTATATACAAGAATACAAAAAAAAAAAAAGAATACCTCAGGTTATTAGAAATTTTCCTGTTTCATATTTTATAATTTCTAAATAGCCTTTAATAATAACATTACATTCTTCAATAAAAAAAAAGTTACAGATTTTAATTTATTTTGACCTAGGGTGAGAAAGAGACAAACATTGCAGTGACTTTTGCTTTATGTAAATTAAAATGTTTTTTGTACATATGGTTTACTTGTTAGTGGTATTTTTCTTTAACCAAAAATTATTTCAACAGAAAGTTAAAAGTATATGAAGGCAAAGTTGAAGGATAGATAGCTAAGCACAGTAATATATGACAGAACCTAGAAGTAGATTTTTGATTAAAAAAAAGAGAGAGAGATAAAAAAGTTGGCATGATTACAGGAAGGGCTAGAATTTAGTGATAATTTGCATTAAAATGTTGCTGAGATCAAAATAGGAAGAAATTTACTTGAGTTTAGGACCCTAAGTAATAAATTAATAACCACAAAGGTTGACAATGTTTAGCTCTCCCTAAAAAAGAAAGATGGAACATCCAAAGTTACTAAAACATAAACATACTTGCAAAGAATGTGTGGGTCATGGAGGAGGGAAAGGGCAGCATAATGATGAACAGATTAATCGCAAGTGATACAGAAACTTTTGTTTTTATGATCAACATTAACGGCTTCTGAAGAACCACTTCTATTTTCCATTTTTTAAAATGGTTAGTACCAATACCTTTTTCCATATTTCAATACATCTTTATTTTTAATCTCATCTCAAAATATGAGAATAACTGGCATTATTGACTGTAATAGATTAGTGCAAAGGAAATCATTTCTAAACAGTTGTATACTAAGCAATCCTGACTAAACTGAGAGCTGTGCCTTGGTATGAAAAAATAAAACGGGTCGCTAGTCCTTTTTTGACCTAGATATAAGCCTCTTCATGTCACACGAGCTGAAAATGCTTAGTGACAGGTCACCAAGAACTTTCACTGAAGAACAAGGCTGATTACCACTCTGACATTTTTCTATGACCTCTATTCTCCCATTAGCTGTAATAGTAAAGATAAGTCCTGTATTTCTTATATAAACTAATTTCAAATCAGAGTATTAGAACTTTAATATAAAATACACATTTACTTAGAAAAATACAAACACATTATTACCTATATAAATATTTTACACACATTTCTCCCTCACACACATGCATTCATATATCATGGTGAATTTATGAACTACATGTTTCAATGATGCACTTGGGTAAAACAGATTAAAAAATAAATTTGTGAATGATATACAGATCATTAATTCACATTGACACATTACATTTATTGAAAACATCCTTGGAAAATACACTTTCTTCCAAGAACTTATTAAGCTGTATAAATCTACAAACTCTTTTACAAAACAGTTTTAACTTTAAATTTTGTACCTAGTTCATCAAAGTATGTTTCTGGTCCATCTTCATCAGTTACCGAGCACACCAGCCTTGCTTTTAAGAAGGTAGTCCATTTGTTGACAAGGCTACGCAGCCCACCAGTGTCATTCTGAAACCAGTTTATAAACACATTTCAGAGTGTTCAAAAATATTGCAATGTATTAAAATTTTAATCTGAATTCTTTCAACATGAAAATTTGCAATAAACTGCAACACAGCAATATCTATCAAGTTAAAAAAGAATACACTCAATAGAAGTTATAAGATACACTGTATTTTATAAAAGTCATGTTATAGTGTGTATCAGCTGACAATGTTTTAATAAATAGATTTAATAAATATATGTTCTATAGTTTCCTAAATATAAGAATATATGACAGAAATATTCCTAAGATGTTATGGAGAATGCATTATTTACTTGCCTTTCCCTGATAATTTACTGTTCCTAAAATGAACATAATTTACAGTACACAAATAAGCATGAAGATTCTCCTGCAGTCAGGAGCATGGGTTTCTATTTATACCAAATGGTCCCAAATAGGTCTATTTCTCAGCATTTTCTTTATGTCTCAGCATTATCATTTAATCTTCACTATATTGCAATGTACATATTTTTCTAACAAGACAGGGAGAATGGTATTTGGGTCATTTACAAGGAGAATGCAATATTATATTTTTTTCTTGCATGCCCAGAAGCATTTCACCCCTTCTGCTGGCTTTCCTACCTTGCTCCAAATGATTAAGAAACAGAAAAGTTCCACAATCAGTAGAATAATGCAGTATTTAAAGACAAACCACTTTTTAAAATTGTCTGCTTAAAGAAAATGATAAAGGATATAAATATGTCATGAAAAACCTATGAAACTCCTGTTGGGATACCATGAGTTTTCTTTTATGTTACTACTTGTACTTACTATGTATACCTAAGAGTCTTTTACTGTTTCTAAATAGAATTTATTTTACTAAAGCATTTTATTCATTCTTACTGTAATTTACACTGGTATAGACAATTTCTTAATAATTGACTTTTACTGATCTTGCTATAGTTTATTAATAAGAATTTTTGTTTCTATAATAATGTTACTCATTTTAATACTATTGCATTAAATGGAAAAGCAAAAATTACTCAAAACTGTAAAACCACAACCAAAATATTCCTTTGAGTTAAAATTTGTGCTGAAATAGGTTATATTTAATCTCATTAATATATTGTGAATAAACATGAAATTAACATCCCTTTCAATATTTCATTATTTTCTTACAGTACACAATAAAAGTAGAAAGGTAAACTATTGGAAAATATATTCATGTAATTTGAATTTCTTAGTCTTCACAATAGACCAACACTGATACTCACAGGGCATATTCTAGCAATCATGGAATGAATCTGTTTTGTGCTCCTGTTATTGTCAGTCAGTTTCTCTTTGAAGAAGAAATATACCTTAGCATCATTTGGATCAGTGCCATCTGGTATGACATGTGCATCCACAAACATAGGTTCTGGAATAACATAAAAAGGATTTATATACTCATGATGAAAGTCTACCTATTGTCCTTTCAAGCAGACCACAGGCACACATTTTTTCCATCTTTCATGGAGAAGAACCATTTAATGTTCATAGACAAAAAGTCAAAAAACTGCAATTGTTCACTCACCATAACACATTTGAATTGTCAAGTGCCACAAAGTATAGCTATAATATGTGAGCTAAAACTGTTTTTCTGTCTGTATGATATTCTGGAAGTACAGTAAATGCAAAAATTCTTTGTGAACTGATGACTTTTATAAAATGAAAAAGCTTTACTACCAGTTATTTTCCCTGGAACCTGAAGCTGTTTTAAGAGGAAACTGTTTATTTTTCAGATTGTGGTTTTCAATCTAGTGCATATAAACTCAAATTCATTGAAGCAGAATGAGGATCTGGAGTCCAAGATCTGAAAAACACATTTTTCTTAAAATACAGCATATGAAATGAAGGGGAAACACTTCAAGGAAAAATGCAGTCAGTTGAAAACATAGAGGGATTCCTTATTTCAGGAACAAAACAACTTTTAGAATATTCTGTTCCCAGATGTACTGGGGGAATAATTTGAAGAAGTAAATGGACAATCAATGCTTTCTTCTTTTGGTCTATAAGTGAAATAAGAAGCTTTCCTGTGGTGACTCATACTTAACTGTTCAACATTAAGTGAACTGTCAAAATTAGGGTCAGCTAGAAACTTTCCCCAGGGTGAAATGACAAAGATCTCAGTGGTTTCTTCATTTGATAAACCATAGCAACTTATTATAATTGTACATTAAAATCATATAAGCACCTTTCACAATATGAATTCCATCTGACCTCAATAAATTGGAAACAGTTGAATACTAATCACAAATTTATCTATGACTTATATAAAGTATGAGTCAAATTATAAAAAAGTAAATGCACCAGTTTTATAATTTTAGAATCTAAGTATAAAATAAAAAGGAGCAGTTCCTGAATACATCTTCTTTATTATGAGTGTCATAAGTTTAGGAAAGATTTTAGAGATGAAATTACTAAAATATACATTATGCATAATAAATTACATCAATAGCATATATAATTACAACACTGTTATCACTAAACAACTAAAGACAATTCCTGGGTATTGACATGATTGATGTGTAGCATTGTAAATTTTATTTATTCACAAACATTATAAATATATTGGTTAATGAAGAGAATTATAGACTATTTCAATTATGTATTTACATACATATTTAAAAACATGTGATACAGAATTATCATTAAGGCATGGTCTGACATTTTCATTTTTAACCATTTTAACTAATTATCATTATGGAATTCAACAACTTAATTTAAAGCATTATTCTCAAAAAATGCATGAAATATCTTTTTGTTACCACTTAGCCATTTGGAATTGTGTTGATCGGTTCGGACTGCATTCCTCTTGGTTAAACTTCGGAAAATAGCAGCATCTGTCCCCATGAAATCAATATACATTCCAGAGAAAAGCTCCTCATCTATGAAAAATAAGAAAATGTCAACACAATTTTAACATTTTTGAAAATTAAGGAAACTTGTTTATTAAAACATTTCAAACATTATAGAATAATTAATATTGGTAGTGGTATTTCATTGCCCACCAAATTAAAAAGGGTGGCGTTTAATTTGATTTTATTATTGACTAATCTGGTGTTATTAATGCCTTCATGATTACTATTATTTTAAATCAAATCCCAAACTTCATTTTACATAGAAATAAAAATTCCTGTCTGTACTTAATTGTGTTAAATACTTCTGTTAATACAGTGTCCTGAGAAATGCAAAATAGTACATATATGGAGGACAAGCAAATAGCTTAGTTACTTCCATTAACAAAAAGAAGTTCTGTAACAGAAAACTTAGTTTTTAACATTGAACATTATTAATGAACTCGCAGTTAGAGGCATACCACTTAGCACCCTGAATGTTCTCAATGTTCTCATCCTGTAAAATATGGGAAATAGATTATGATCTCAAAAATTCTTAATATGCATTTAAAGTTCAATGTATTGAAAATAATAGTATCATTATTGTATTATGTTACAACATGGAGGTCATGTTAAAATTATCAAAATACTATTAATGATACAATTATTTAATCTTTAAAGTATGTTTTGAATTTTAGTACTACAAGTTTTTATATGGCAAAGTGCTACTTTTTTAATTGCATCCCATAATGTATTAACATATTAATAAGTCATATGAAAATAGATTGAGCCTTAAGAATAGAACATAGAAATTAGAATAAATACATAAAAATTTAATACAATTGCTATTAAAATGTAAATATAGGTTCAATTAAACATTTAGTTGTTGTGATAAGATTCATATCAATTTTTTCCTAGTAAGGAAAGTAAATATTAAATTGGTGTATGTATCTCTTGAATATAAAAATAGATTTTCAAAGGAGGATGAAATTTATCATATCTATCTCATTGAACAACCATGTAGGTATGTTCTTTGATTGACTTTGTAGAATAATTCCCTTTGTTACTTCCAGATCATGGGTATTTTGGTAGGCCGGGAACATTTGAAGCACTCTTCAGCAATAAGCAAAACCAGTTCTCAGAATTGAATGTTTTATGGATTGTATATATGAACACCAGGTTATAAACTGAACTCCTAATAATGAGCAAACAGGTAGGAATTGTGTCACCCATCTCTAGATCCAAGATAGGGTCCTGAGGATATAGAAACTGATAATAGGCAAATAACAAAGATGTGAATGAACAGATGTTGCATAAGTCAGCATTAAAATTCTGTGGACAATGGTGAAGCAGCTAGATAAATCTGATCTAGATCCAATAGCTATTAAATTAAGATAATGTTAAAATTAAGAGTTGCACATTTTGTTATACTGAAGCAACCTCAAAAACAATGAGCTATACATTTTTGGTATTAAATAGATCAATTAATATAGTTATTAGTTACCATTTCTATTTATTTAATTAATATAGCTAATTAATGATCAAATATCAATTCTGTTTCCAGGAAAGAAAAACAAAAAGGACACTTAGAAGATAATATATGGTGGAGAAGACTGATTATAATCTTCCTTCACACTGCCTTATGATTGCATCTTGAAAGCTTTGTCCAAAACTTGCATGTCTAATGGCTTCATTTCCTGCTTTAAATTCTAAGTCATTTTAGTTGCAAGTTAGGAATAATAAAGTTGCTGCTTTACTTTGTGTCAAAAATATTTAATTATGTTACTTTGGAAAAATTTTGTTTGAAGGTAGCGTACTTTTCAGAATGTCTTTGTAGGGTCTATGCAAAGATAATGTATGCCTTTTAACCTTAATGTAAAAATATTTTTTTTTTCTAATTGAGCTTTCATTGACTAGAAAACTCTCATTGGGTTTTGATAGGTCCTTCAAGAGGTTTCATCTGAATTTATTGTGCTAAAGTGATGACTGAAAATAGCAAAATAACACTAGATTTGCACAACTATATTGTAAAATTTTGAATTCTTCTACATGTCCATGTATTATGCAGTTTAATAGGTAGAAGTATTTTTAGCAATCTGTTTTACTTAGTGTACTACAAATTAACAGAAGTGATAAAGTATAATATGACAAAATTAGATGATTATACAAATAACTATGCAATTCAGGAGATAATTTTAGAAAGATAATAAAACAAAGAAATAATTAAAAACTTCCTGCTCTTTTTAGTTTAATTTTAAGTAAATTGTTTAATGACTTTCTCTGACTATATAATTTATACTATTAATCAAAATATTAAAATGTAGTATAGGAATATAAGCAAAGGAATTGAAATTTCAGATTTTGAAAAATAAAGGCCATTATCAAACTTTTATTTTGAACATATTTTCAGTTCCCTAAGGACAAAATTATTAAAAATATTGAGAAAAAAATGTATAATGTCTTATTTGAATACTTCTTATTCTCCATAATGTATGCAGAGAGAAAATTCCAGTATGAGTGTTTACAAATCATTGAAGTTTCTTTTTATAACATTTATTGTGAAATATGTGGAAATTCCATATATTAATTCGCACCAAATATATTATAGTTTCTAAAAGTGAATTAAACTCCTATCTAATGAAGAAAAGATGACACTACTTCTGTTAAATAATATTTGAAACTTGAAAAGCTCTCACATTATACATAACTGGATATGTTGTAGCTTCAGTTTTCTCATTTCCTTTGTCCTGTTATACTCTCATCTCCTTCCTGCCTGATGTGAATAACCACACAAAAATGACTCATGGGATAATCTCCAAGTTAATGGAAATGTTAGATGTACCTATTTTAATGTATTCTCCAGATATGTGAAAGAGAGATGATTTGTTTCTTTAGATGAAATCAAAGGAAAGTATTTTGAGCACAATAATTATTTTTCCACTTGTATGGTTAAATGAATCAGTTTTATCACAGGTAATACATAAGAAAGCATAGCAGGAAAAACATCTACTATATATAGTCAGCATACTGAAATTCAAGATCTGTCACCACAGTCAAGTATCTGAAGTCAGATATATTCTAAAGTGTCTTAATTAATCAGAATAGAATGTCTGTTGAGTTACAGAAAGTCATCACTGATTGTGAATCAAAGACATTGATATGCCAATGGTTATAATAGCAAATAGCTGGATTTGCTTCACAATTAATGTATTTTATGGAAAATGAGAAAGTAAAAATATGGTTTTACCACCACTTCTTAAGTATAACAACTTCTAGATAGTTCAGAAAATGCACATAGCCAACACGTGCATTTGTTATTGTTTTATTTGAAATAAATTCCATTTGTAGTAAATTGCAAAGGATTACTAAAATATGAAGAAAATGGGTATACTTAATACTAGAAAAACACCTACAGAAAATATTGATTTTTCTAAAAATATACGTAATTATAGGTGTTTCTGTAAATGACACCACTGTCATATTAGATTTATAAAAATATGCTTATGATTAACCATGAATATTTTTGGAAATGAGAAGTGAACATATCTATTTCTCAAGTCAAAAATTTTGTTGTATTAGCATATAGACTCAAACTGCCATTATCCAAAATTGGCATGTCATGTCTTGTCATGTCACAAATTTATTTATTTTTTAATTTTGTATTTTTCCTTCTCTCTTTTATTTTCCACTTACTGATCATAACAGACACTGTGTTCACATTGGGGTTGAAAGAGCAGCGTCCTTTTCCAGATTCACACTTGGAGTCAATCATGAAAACTTGATCCTTTATTATAAAAGGAAAATGTAATAACAATAAAACTCACTTTATTGTTAACCAATTGTTTTATAGTGAAATACAGCATCATTATAAACTAAACATTTTACTCAATTTCTTTTGTCTTTCCAATTCAATGTATTAAGACTTTCTTGGCCTATATAAAGAACACACCTGTAAATTAATAGTTAACCTCAGCAAGTCAAGTTCTCATTCTACTACATTTTCTATAAAGTACATTCACCTAGGAGTTCTCCTCAAATTATCACCAGCTAACCAGCTGGATATCAGCTAGTTTTGTGGGACACTGACTCAAAGTTCACAGAGGAACAATGTATATAAATTTCACCATCTTTCAAAATTAATGAAGACCTTATTTAAAATAAAATTTTATATCACCAATTAATTTTGTTATATGTAGCATACCAGAATGAACAAAATAATTTATAATTCAAATTAAAAAGTTTAACTAGTTTAATAAGTATTTGTTGATTATCTGCATGCCAAGCACTGAAAGAACACTGAAAATACTGGGGCTATGATACAGAAAACAAAACAGACAAAAGTCTTTAAAGTAATTTATAACCTAGTGGTAGAAAATACAAATGTATATAGGGGCATCCTGGTGGTATAGGGGTTAAGTCTCAGCACTACCACCACTATGACATCAGTTCAATTCCTGTCCAGGGAGCTAATCCACATATGGCATAGCAATCCTCTCTGGTCACACTCACTGTTTCCCTCAGCAGTATATTTCAGTAGATCCACCTGTCCTGCTTCCCATCTTGTTTCTGGTGAATCCTCTTTCCCCCTACACCTCTGCTTTACACCCTAGTTCTTCTATACAAAAATAAATAAATATATATACACATATATATTATTTTATAAGATATATAATATTGTATACTATATAATTAATATATGATATATGGTAAATAATTATATGAGAAATATAATTTATATGATATATTCTATATACCTATAGAATATAAGGGGATAAATCTATAAAACTTAGGCGAGTATGTAAGATGGCATTCAGTGCTTAGGGAAAAATTAAACAGACCGAGACTAGGGAATTTCCTGAATTGGTGACAATGAGTTAATTTTGAAACATCATGGACAGTGTAGCATCTCTAAGAGGAGACATTTTATCATATATATATATATATATACTATATTTTACTTCATAAAGTTAGCAACATCTATTACTAAAATTCAAAGAGACAAGTTACCACTTTTCTAAGTTGCATTAGGTGAAGGAGTACCTTCATTATTAAACTAAAGTTTTTCAAAACTATCCTAAAGGAAACACAAATTCAATATTTTCGATTATGGAAATGAAAGGATTATATAACACTGCTTTGAGAACATTGGGCCTTACCTTGTCCTTGTGTTCAATGAAGACTAAGAATGATAGCTAAAAATGGCCACTGGGGGCCCTCTCTGGTGGCACAGCGGGTTAAAGCACAGCACTAAGACGCTAAAGCCACTTCTTTATGAGTTCAATCCCTGCCCTGGAGGTGATCGACATAGTGTGTCAGACCTCTCCTGGCCCACCCTCTGCTACCTTCAGTAGTGTATATTGTCGATCTGCCTGTTCTGCTCCCCATTCTTTCTCTGGTGAATCTTCTCACTACCTGTGCATGTCTGGCCTGTACCCCAATTCTGTATGCATAAATAAATAAATACTTTTTTAAAAAGTCCACTGGATTCAAATATTGTCTATTTTAATAGTCCAGTATTTAAGTAATAGTAATTTGACATGCCAGGATCTCAGTGGTTACAACAGTATAAAGATGCACTTTACAAGAGGACTTGTAAAGTGAAAATCAACAGAGCTTAACAATTACAACTTGGAAACAGTTTGGGAAGTAAAGAAGACAAAGATGGTTCTAAAGTTTGACTACTTAGAAAAAATACAACTAGTTTATTTCTATTACATTAAGCTTAATGCATTGGCAGGACATCCCTGAAGTAAAAGGGACTACAGTTTTTAAAGAAAGAAACAACAGTTTTCAATCCTGGAGAAGTCCTAAAAATAGTATTCTTCAATTAATTAACTCTACAGATGGAAAAAAAAAAAGTATGGTTTTCTTGACTTTGCTAACAACTTCAGATCCTATTCTTTTTAATTCCAATATGTTTCCCTCCAAATATTGCTTCCTTATATTCTCAATCTTTTCATTGTAGTCATAATCTAGAGAATACTTATATTCTCTATGGCTGGTTCTCAAAAATTAAACATTTTGCATGAGGTAATCCAATATTGTATAGATTTCATGATCACCAACACTTCCTCGCTAGTAGCCAAATTTTCAAGTACATTCTTGTCAACTGGTGACTGTTGTCACTATAATCAAATATAACTTCTTAGCTCAGTTGCTAGATACCTACTTTGCTGTGAAAGTGAAGATGTACATACATGAATCATCTTCAACTTCTCAATGCCAAAGATAAATATTGTATATTCATCCAGTTAAAGGGTAGTGGAATAGTGTCTCAGAAATAAAATGGCTCATTTCCAAACTGGTTAAACACATGAAAAATTCTCTCTCAGCACAAATACAAGGATTGAGCAGTAAATATTACCTATGGTCATTACAAAATACTGTATTAGTAATGAATAAGAAAGACAAGTATCTCAAAATTTAGCTGTCTTCATCATGTGGTCAAGTGTGTTGGCTGACTTTTATCTTAAATTAAGAAAAACAAATGCATTACATAACAATGCTCAGCATTCTACCTTTATTTTATGACTTATAAAAGCTATAGCTACATTGAAAGACTACTATTGTGAAACCATTTGACTTAAGTTTACTATCAAGGAAATTATTTAAAGCTTAAAATTCATAACCCTTTCATTACTTATTTAAAGAGATTAACTAATAGAAATGCCTCTTCTTTGAAACATATTTTTTGAAGTGAGACTAAAGTAGTTCATATTTAACAAGTGATTGAAAAATAATCCATGCTGGTTTTCCAAAGATTATATTTTGGACAGACTTTCCAATTAAGCCTTGAAGTGCATAGTGGGCAGTTTGCACATGGGAAAAAGACTTTACTTGAATTCTGTGCTCTGAAAAATTCTATGCTATTGTTGGCCAGCACAGTGACTGCTTAGTCTTCAGTGGAGTGTCTGACAGATTACAGACGTCTGGGGCAGTAGTTTATTTAATCAATTGATCGCAGGCATGTGGTTGTAATGACAAGCTCAATGCAGCCAACTGTACTTTTTCAAAAAGCATAGATTTACACTTTCCTGAAGACTTTATATATTTCATATCATCTTGAAACACTTGGAAATGTTTCAATTCAGGGCTAAGCTTTAATTACTCTTTTATAGTGATTTTTAATTCCCCAAACAAATATCTATGTGCAAATCATATGTCTGAAAAATATTAACGATAGATAAGATAATAAGTATTGTTAAATTATATTAGTACTATAGTAGAGTGATCCTCATTAAAGAAAAATAAAGTTAATAAGATATATCAGTAGCAATATTCTTTTAAAATAAGCTTAATGTATAAAAATTGAATTAAGACTTCATTTAAAGAGTGGATTTTTAGACTAAGTTTTCAAAATACAGTTTTTAAAATACTTACTAATATAATTATTTCTTAACTTAATAGTAAAGAAACTCATTTGACTAACAGAATGAGGCAAAACTCTGATTTAATGTATAGTTTTCTTTTTAATGATTGTGAACTAGATCAATAAAACTTAATATCATAGGTGAAGTTCAGTTGGCCTTATATTTGACTCTTCATTTGCTATATATTTGACTTTCACAAAAGACTTTATTTACAGAACCCCAAGTCATTTTAACCAACATAAGAATAGAGATGAAATAGTCCAGTATACACCAATGTTGTTTTATAAAAAAAAAATATACCATTTTATAAATTTCATTCTCACAACAGCACCTATCATTCTATTTTGTACATTTAATACAAGTGTGTATCTCATAAGGTTTACCAAATTTTGAAAGATAAATTTAAAGCAGATTTAAGAAGACAATTTTATACTATAATATTTCTATAACTTAGAGCAAATATCACAAATGCCTGAAATTCTAAGTAACTATGAAATTACATTTACATTCCTTTTATCTTATGCAACTTTCCATTCATAAATATAATTACTTATATATAATATAAATATAAGTTAATAAATGTGTAAACACATAGAAATGATTATATACAATAACTATGTTAATTATGCTTATCCATGTAAATACTGATGCTGTTTCTAAGTTTTTAATCTAAAATCGAGTTTTAAGAAATCTTTGTATTGACACCAAATCTAAGAATGAAAGACTGTGGCACTTACCTCTGATCTCCTGCCTCTGTTCAAGTAAGTACATACGGGGCTGAAAGCACCACTCCCACAGACATACAGATGAGTGCGGTTGAAAGCCTGGATTACACGAACAAAGTTCCCACAGCCATGCTAAAAGAATAGGTAAATAAGTAGTTAGCAACCTACTGACATCAAGTGATATTTTTCAGTGTGACTGATTCTTTTTCCTGTCTGATCATTTTTCCTTTTAAGATACAGTAAGAGAACAATATGATTTACTCCATTATTTCAGGAAGAAGGTAGTTTTAGATAATGAGTAAAATATGTCTCTCCTTATTTCAATGTTTAATATGCTGCAAGGCTTATATCCTAAAGCTTACCATTTACCTGACTAACTTAAGAAATTGAAAAGTATGACAATTTCCTCAAGCTTCCTTCAAAACACTATCTAAGTAGACATGTATTATAAAAACTTGTATTGAACGAAATTTTGCTCTTACACAATCTGTATTATCATTAGCACTCAATCACACACTACTGTCTTCATAATTGCTGAGAAAATCAAACCTTAAACAAAATTAACAAACTCTAAACAAAATGTGCACATTCTCTGTGGGAAATGATGCAGCCATTATCTCTTTTCCCTTTATCCTTAAAGTCTTTTCTACCTGCTCTGAGTTCAAATACTGAAAAGGGCATTTATTCACTCAGTGAAATACAATAATTGCAACTGTAAGTTGACTATGACCTTGCAGAATTACTTGAGCATGGTTAGCACCAAATGCAGAACTCTGTAACTCAGTTTATCAAAGCACAGTCCACATTTGCTAGACTCACTGTCCTTTGCTGACAAAAAATTAATTAATGCCCAGATTGAAATTTGCTTCCTTCACAATGTTCCTTGCAAGGAACATTATTATAATTGACTTCATAATCAGACACTATTTTTTAAATTAAGAATCGGAAACTGTGGTTTTACCATGGGAGCTCTGAAAACATTTTTTGCTCCCAGATACTATGTATTTTATTAATTTGTACAATGCATACTTATTATTTGTAGTATTAGAAAAGTTTCAAAACAAACTTTGCTAAAGTAGAAGTTAAGTTTAGCTTAAAGTCAATATTATTTCATATTTTCTAGTTTTATGACCATTATTAGTTGTCAGCTAGTATATACTTTTCATATGTAGTAATTTTATACAGATGTTTCTATTATGGATTTTCATTATCAAGTAATCAATCATTACCTCTTCTGTCAAATAAATTAATCTTCAAAGAATCAGACTATACACTTTATTTTTATTTTAGAATATTGAGGATTTTTGTTAAATATAAAGTATCACTTTATCCTGACACCTACTTATAGAAGTTAGTGAAAACTGATTAGACACCTATTTATAGAAGTTAGTGGAAACTGGTTATGTAACTGCAAAGGACAACATGGTTTACTGGAGAAAAAGCATAGATGTGTATGTAATATGGCTGCATTAAAGGGATCTTTGATCAATGAAACCTGTTTTTCACATAAATTTAATCATTTTGTGATTGTGCATGTAATATTTTTCCATAACACCTGAATTCAACCCAACCCCATGTCCTGAATTTTGTAGAAGGTTTTACCATAATGCATTGATATTCATAAAGAAAAAATCATTAATATCTCTTTTACATTTTAAATACAACTTATACTTGTTACATGTGAATGTTTATATGTCCACACATACTAAATATGTGCAAATTCTGGTGAATATTTGTTTAGTATTTATTACATGCCAGATATTGGAATAATCATTTTATAATATATAAGTGCAATTTGTTGTCAGAAGGCTTCATTTTTCACCTTTCTAACTCACACTTATTGAGCATAACTTAGGCCATTTAGGCATTTTGAATGGATTTCAATATTTATCTTAACCCCTTTTAGTAAAATGAGGTTTATAACTTTCAGTTAACTTCCTTGAGATTACATAGGCAGAAAAAGACAATGCAAATTTTCAAATGTGTTAAATCAGATGTGTCTAATACACTGAATCTCATACATTTAACTATAGATAGTTGTCAGAGGGGAATTTTTACAGTAGCTATTAATGTTTAAAGAGGCTTTAATCCTTTGGTGTTGTCTTTAATCTCCCTAGCATGGTTTTAATTAAAGTACTAGTTCTATTTTAGTGAGGAGCAAATTGAGTCTCAAAGACGTAAATGAAGTATTATAGGTTTAATAAGTAACTGAACTGAGACTTTAACCAAGCTTCCCTCCATTATCCAGCTTTTCTATAAGAATGGGGTTGATTATCAATGACACATTTTTTTTTTTTACTCTCTATCCACATATAAGAACACAAAGGGAAAAACAAACCAGTTAATTATTGAAAATCATTTTCTAGTTCTTTGCCATTTCCATTGTGGTACTTTAGTTCTGTCCACATCATTTCTCAGCTAGACCACTGCAATCCTGTCAGTTCTATCCACCAAATATTTACTGAGCTCACTCTATGCAAACATTATACAAGGTGCTTACAATGCTGCAATGAATAGCTTCAATTTCTGCTTTCAGAGAAAGGAAGGCATAGTACATCAGGCACTGGTAGATACTACAAAAGGGTTATATTTTTCAAAATGTGCTTATGAAAGAACAGAGGAGAGAAAGAATAGTGTTGTCTTGGGTATATAGGACTGAAAGGGAGCATCATTTGAACAGGTTCTTTGAGATTAAAGTAGAGAAGTTGACAGGCAAAAACATAAGGAAACAACTCCAAAAGAAAAGATTACAAATTCAAAAATGGAGGCATGGCAGTGCAGGATTTACTTGAGGAAAAATGCCTGCAGGGGATAGAGAATCATTGTGTGGTGAAACTAGTGAAGCAGTTAAAGTTTGTCTGTCATTCTGCCACAGTTTTCAGATGAGCAGCAGTCAGTGATTGTAAGTATGTAACTCATAGAGCCAGATGACCTGAGTTCAAACTCTGGATTTACTTTTTACTTGCTGCTTGAATATGAGATATTCACCTAGCCTTCCTTTGCTTCTATCCTTTTATCTGTGACCAGTGATAATGGCATTTGTTGTGAGCAATATACTAATAAAGCTCTTGGAGTAGTGTCTGGCACATAATAAACCACAAAAGTTGGATTCCTTCATATGCATTTTCTTTTTCTTTTTTTTTTCTTTTTCTTTTTTTAAGATTTATTTATTTGTGCCTACAGAACTGGGATACAGGCCGGAGGTCAGGGGCGGAGAGAGGCTTCACCATAGACAGAGTGGGGAACAGAACAGGCAGATCTACGAAGTACACTGCTGAGGGGAGCAGCAGGCAGGTCAGGAGAGGTCTGCCGCACCATGTGGTGCCTGTGGGGGCAGGCAGGAATCGAACTCATGCGAAAGTGACTTTAGCTTGTCAGTGCTATGCTTTAGCCCGCTGCGCCACCAGGGAGGGCCCTCATATGAATTTTCTATTGCAATTGTCAACTCAATCCTCATAGAATGTAGTCCTAGTCCTGACCATAGCAAATAACCATGAAAGGTTTGGAGAATGAGATTACAGTGAAGTTCAGTATCACAAATGTTTCAACAGTTTAATTCTCTTTCAAAATCATTTCTTGGCAGAATTCTAAATAAAAAATTAGGCTGCTAACATAGGCATGATAAGGTATCATTTTATTTACATACATACATATGTCAAATAATAAAATATAAAAAGACTATACCATAAAATTTTAAGCTAATATGTTAGGTAATACAATTTTATTTAATTAACTGTAATATACAACTTGTTGTGTGTTCACTATATATTGTGTGTTTACTGTTGTCTAAAAATATTAGTTCATTAATCTTAAAAACCCAGTAAAATACTTAGTATATATAGGACCATTGCAAGGATAAATTGTGAAGCACAGCAAGGTTAAGGCTCCAGTATCAAAGAATTAGTAATACATTATATTTTGTTGTTTTCTATATATTTTTGTAGTCCTTCAATGATTTCTGTATTGGACATGTATTAGTTATATAATTTAAAGCTACATGTGTTACAAAATATATTCTGCCTTGCAGGTGAATAAGTGAAATGCAACAGAAAATTCAACAGCTCTTATATTTTTTTCTACTTTGCCAATTTCTCTTTGGTTTGTGAAATAAATTAAGGTATTTTGATGAATTTATTCCTAAAGAAAATAGGGAAATAGGGAAACTAGTATATATTACAATTAATAAATCAGGTTTGACACTGTGTCCATATAACACATAAATGTTTAAATATATGTGTATAATTCCACTTGCCTTTTCAGTGATCTCTTATGGTCTTACTTCACTGAGTATGTTTGACAATATTTGATAGTGTTATTGTTTAAGTTAAACTTATTTAGAGTACAAATAAAATATTCAATTGGATATAAATGGGGCATGAGTAATGAGAATACATAGAGGGAAATTGCAGTAGGTTTTTGCTTAATAGATTATTAATATAATATTTAAAAGCAGAACAATTTAACTAAAATATACTTCTAAATATATGCATAATGAATACAGTACAAAAAAATTAATCCAGAAACATCACCGATTTTATTCATCTGCCATGCCTTACCCAAAGGGACAAAAATATAAAATAATTTGGCTGAGATTCTTTAGAAAATCAACAGCAATTTTTTGAAAGAAAAATATGCAAAGGTATTTAAATGCTACATATTCTGCCCACAGTAGGCAGTATGTATGAATGGAAATGAAAATCCTTTTGAACAAAGAACAATTAAATCAGCAATTATACAGCCATGGAATATTACCTTAGCAAAAGTCAAAACATGATTGGATACATGTGAATAAGAAAAATCTCTGCACTAGTGAATGGAAAAAAAAAAACAGTTTAATTCATGCACAATTACTGAAATAACAGTTTAGAAGGAAACAAAAGCTCCCCCATTAACTTCATTCAACAGCTGTTTCCCTAGTAGTAACTGTACTGTATCTTTTTGTATGTTTCTTCACAATTCTCAGTCTAGACTATGGCCCGACAGATCCCGTAGATAGTAAATAAGCTCCTTTTAGCTCCTATTGCTAGTTTTAAAATTCCTCTCATAAGGTGAATTATGAAACTGATTCATAATTGAATTATTCTGTTGAGCTCTTGTGCCAAGAACACCCTCTAATGAGACACAGAGCTCCTGCTCTATAGAGTCTTTCATGACCTTGCCTTGAGCCAGACCTTTTCAGACCTTGAATGTGATATTGTTAAAAAAAAAGGGAGAGATAAAAATAAAAATTTCATTTGCACAATTTCTCATTTCACAAACTGTTTTTGTTGTCTGAACTAATCTGATGTCTTTGAAATTCTCACTGCCAAACCTCTGTACACAACAGCTAGCTGAGTCTGATGACAGCCACAGAACTGTGCCCTTTTTGCTACAAATTACATCTTTAGCAATTAACACAATGCAAGATAATCAGTAGTCTATCACATTTGTTGATTGAATAACTGAAAGAAAAAATAAACTTCTTTCTCAAATTATTCAGGCAAGAGCAGTGATTTAGATACTTGCCTCCATTATATTGTCAAGATTTGAAACAAAATTTGAAATAATATTTTGCTTCATTATAAATATTAAATGACCGTGTACATTAGTGACTTAGTCCATTTTAAAAAAGAATGGTGTTTAAGTTTTAGCAAGTCATTTGTAGGAATCAATAGAATTGAATTCCTTGCCTGTTCATATAGAATATAACACCTAAAAGAATACAACCTGTATAGGTGTTGTTCACTGAACATTTATTGACATTTCTATCTGCATTGACTTTGTTTCTATGGTTATTTTTAATTAACAAAGATACCAGTCATCATTGGTGATTTATGCCTCTGGAATGTGCCGACTAACCACTACCCATTAGCCAACAGTCTTTGGAAAAGCCCACATGTTATCTGGGAGCTGCTCCAGAAACTAGCATTATCATTATTTCAGCAGCCTGCTGAGAATTCTGCAGGTTGAATCCACTTGGAACAGGGATTATTACTGAAATCCATCATGAGAAGTGTCAGAGTGCAATAATGAATACAAGGCAAGACATTTTTACCCAGTCAGGAATTCCTAAGTTACAGTGGTTGAGAGCTCCAATCTCTTTACATTTACATTTTTACCATGTGTCCAGCAGAGGATTTGTAATGCCAACATCCTTTATTTCACATTTGGCTGCATTCAAGGTACATGAATTCAAAGATCAAATATTTAAGTTTGGAGATTTTTAGGTACTCACTGTGGGATCCTTGCCAGCCATTTTGCATTCATCGACTTTGTTTGCAGATGCTGGCCAGAAAACCTGCTCAGAGAAGAAAATAAAGGTTGCATAATCTCACTTTTGTATGTGGCAGTTCAATGCTCTTCATTTACTTTATGCGAACTGATTGACTTAAGGTATTTCTATAGTTCTATTTCAAATTGCTTCTTCTTTCATTTCATGAAATAAACAATGCTTTTAATTTATTCTAACAATTACATTATTTCTTCCATCACTTTTTCTTTTTAATCAATGTCTTTCAATAATGTGTCAATTTAATAATGGTGTAATATTAAAATAAGCTCATTATTAATGTGCACAATACAATGTATATTATCCTTCATTAGATTTATGACAGTTTTTATAACTGCTTATATCACAATCAATTTACATTTATATATTTATTTCAATTTAATATTATTTCTGGTAATCTACATAACTGGGCTGGTAAATTTAATTAAAACAAGCACTCCTAAGAACTTCAAAACCTGAAATAACATAAATGAAATCCAAGAGATTCCTTCCCTGATGTAATGTGCTAGCATTCTAAGTCATCCCATCGCTGATAATGATGAACTTTTTTAAATTGTCAGCCTGTTGTGCATATGTAAAATGATAAATTATTTTCACTGCAATACCTTAATAATTAATCTATATTATTTTATTACAGTGAAATCAATTTATTTCCTTCTTGTGAAATAAAAAGATAAAATTAGTCCATAATCTTCAAATAAGAATATACCTAGTAGCTTTTCCTTTCAAGACCTTCTTGGATTATATACAAATGAGAACATAGTTCATTCTTCAACCTGATAATGTTTTCATGTCACCCATGGGTTCTCTTTTTCTCACATATATACAGGATTGTGTATACATTTGTATAGATAAGTTTTCATTTAGTTTCAAAGATCCCCATAAGAATCCCTGGGCTATTAAAAACTATATAACTAAATGGGGAGAGTGCAGTTATTATATTTTCAGTTCATGAAATAACTACTAATGTCCAGCTATTTTCTATTGTGATGAAATACATAAGTTTTTCATTTTACTAATATTTGCAATTTTTAAGGACATGGCATCTAGGTAAACACTGCCCTTGTGCTCTCATAAAAATGATAAACTTACACTCAAAGGTTCCTGACTTATATTGTTAATATTCAAGGAAAGAATGTGATCTTTGCTGCCCACATATATCCGGTCCTGATCTTCATCCATCAATAATATCCTGTAGTCCAAAGGATGGTGGGTTAGGCTGAAGTACTCAGAAGTCTTCGTTTCTCGAAGTTCTGAAATAATAAGCAGCACAAATGAAACTATAGTAACTTGGTTCTATGATTTAATTATTTTAATGAATTTTAATAGAAATATTAACCAAAACAATCAAGATACATTTTCCTCTTACAATAATAAATCAATTTTAATTTAGATATAAGTTAGTGGACATTTTTATTTATTGTCTCTGTGCTGAAGCAAAATATATATAAATCAATAAATGCAATGTCAAAGTTTGATAATACTACAGTATAGCAAATTGACATTTGTGATGACTCATTTTTGTTACTGTCTGCCATTAGGTCAAAACTAGCCAAAAGAGATCAATCAAAAAATATAGTAAATGAGCATACTGAACAAAAACCAAAACCAACTACATGTATATGTCTTCCTAGCCTCTTCTAATATATTGTTATTGGACAAACTGCCTTCATCATTTAGGATTATAATTTTTAACTCAAAATATTGATTATACTTCTCAGTATGATTATAGCTAGTTTAATATATTTTCTACACAGTATTTCCAAGTAAGCCTACTCATTACACCTCACTAGAAATGCAGTGTCACTTAAATGTCATTATAGGCAGGTATGTATAAAAAAAGAAAAAAAATGAATTATCAGATGTTCTGAATTTTTACATTGTCAGTATAAGAGGTATGATGGGGAAAAAGCTGCCCACAGGCAGGTCTGGCACACCACCAGGGCCACTGCATATCTATCTCTACTAACAGAGACTCAGTTCTCTGTGGGCCAGAGTGTGACCAATGTCATCTGCAATGGTATCATCGGCTTGTAGAAGCACCTGAGGGAGTGGTCATGTAGAAGCGAAGTCAGATGGTACCAGGACACATGACAACCCATGCTAAATAGATATGGGAAGACACCCCAAGTCCCAGACTTATCAGAGTTATCAGTGGAGACCTGATTTATGGAAAATTCCAAGTTTGATGCTGTTTAAAATGAGGTCCAATGAAAGATGATGAAATATGTGTTAACGAGTATTTATGAAGGTTTATGAATATTTATTACCCAGTTAGGTAATGCCTATGTGGTTAAGATAGATAAGGTAGAAGCAGAGTATAAAAACCTTTGCGTTCTGCTCAGTCTTGCTTTGTAGTGCCCAAAGGTGCCTATGAGCCCAGACAAAGCCCTCAAGCAATGCCACTTTGCCTCCGGGCAAGCCTCTGCTTCCAAGCCTATATACTGCCTTTGGTGGGAGATTCTGTCTTCAAGGCCATAAAGCCTGGAGTTGAGACTCTGCCTTCAGAGCTGGCTAGTGTGGCACAGGTAAGACTGTCTTCAAAGCCCTGGAGCCTGGACAAGAGATTTTGCCTTCTACACCTGCTTAGCGTGGCACGGCTCTTGGAACCCGAGATCTCTGTGGACTGAACTTTCCCAGAGCGCCTGAACCGAATCTGCAGAGAACCCTCATCCTCCGAGGAGGTATGAGGAGGCACCGGAGCATCGCCATCGCAATCTAAAGTCAGGGCGATTCCTGTGACTGCTCACTCAGAGTGGACAAGTCGCAGTAAGCTATAGCAAGGAAATTAGCGATAGAGTAGTTAGAATTGAGTGTTGAGTGCTGTGATTATTGTAACCATCCTCATCTTTTCCAACATCTACCTTTGTGTAGGCTCAGAGGAGAGAAGAAAAAGAACGAAGGTGCTTATACCTGTCTGCAAGATTTTCTCCCAAAATATTACTGTGTGAAATAAAGTGTGCAGTGACAGCATCTAAGTAAACATCGACTCAACTGCAATTTATTCGGGGAAACTACTCTGAGAATACCTACTAGCAGCAGACAGTATCTTAACGATCAGTGAATTTCGTTATTTAACTCCTTTATTTTAAGTACGTAACTGTATAGTTAAACTTTGAAGACACACATACATTATGATGATAAAAAAATCAATAATCTTTATGAGAAATTTTCAAAGTGCTCTTTTGAATGATTTAAGACTTTTCTGTGGAGTGGTTCAGAATTTCTTTATTCTTTTGATTATGAACTTAAGTGAGTGACAAACAACAAAAGGTCTACTTTTGGTAATTACTGTTCAATAATGAACTATTTCTAATATTTAGTCACTCAACCATAAATATATTTCTAGAAGTTTTGATATTGCTATAGTTCACTGTAAACCAAAATTGGAAACTATAACGATTTCTATGAAACTGTATATATTCTGTGAGCATGAGGGTTATAAGCAATATGTGAAGTCACAAATTTGATCTGTTTTCGGGGTTCACCAATACAAAATGTCTTCCATAATTTCCTTCAAATAGCATTTTATCCAGCAAAAAATCTGAAAATGATATGTAGCAGCATAGTGATTATGAAGTCAACTTGTGACTCCAAACTTCCTGCAACATTAACAAGTTATTAGACCTTAATTTCCTCAATTGTAAAAAGCAACTTAATAGTAACTTCTACAGAGATCCCAGGGAAATCAATTTAATTAATGCAGGTAAGTATTTGAAATGAATGACAAAGTATTCAATTAATTCATTAAATTCTAATTACTATAGTTAGTGTTGAAATAGTATCAGTAATAGATAGCAAAGACATGCTGTTAGATAAAATACATATTTTCCTACTTTTTCCTTTATTTAAGGAATTGAATCCCTAAAGATAGTAACCTCTGATCTTAAAGCATAATGTCTGATATTCTGTCGAGAAAATGACAGCAAAATATAGGATTTTCTTTGTGTAAAAGAAACCATTAAGTTAGAAAAATATTTCAGTAAAATATTGGGAATAAGACTTAAGCAGTGACAATGGACTAGAGGACACATATTTTGAAACAGGAGACCTGAGATGCAGCATGTTGACCCAGTTACTGAACCTCACTAGAAATCATTCATAGACAGGGAACACCGTTGGCAGTGGTGGTGCCACTGACCTAGAAACTAGAATAGCTTTCTTCATGAGCAAAGCAAGATGAGGATGGAATATCATTCAGGAAAAAAAAGTCAAACCCTGTGAGACGAGAGTACATTGCTGAAGTAGGAAAAATCAAAATCTCAAAACTTGAGAGAAAATACATATTCCAATAAAAGCTTAAGATACAGGAAGTCTTGATTTCTCCTAAAACACTGGGTGTCTTATAGTTTGCATTTCATCTTATGAAAGGCAGTTAGTTGTATGATTTCTTTCTGTAAGAATATGACTGAGATGCAATAATTAACTAATTAATTAATTGAAAAGCTATGATTGTGTTCATGATTTCTGGGACCCAAGTATTGGAGTCTGATACTGCCTCTGCCATTTCTGGACTTTCAAGTATCTTAACCTCTCTGTACTCTAGCATTTCATCTGTAAAATCAGAATAGTAATAGTGCCTCCATACAGAGGTGCTGCAAAGTTTAAATTGTTAACATATATCAAGTAATTAAAAGAGTACCTGTCCTGTAGTGAGGAGGGTTACATGAGCAATATTCTGTTATGACACAGAGCAAGACATGAAGCTTCAGACAGAAATATAAGAATCTGCAAGGTCTCATCATGCTAGTCAATGAGAAGTTTAAATCAGGCCTTGTGACTTTTTCTAATCACAAAGATCTAAAGGGAAACTTTCTTTTATGCCCTAAAAACTGGCCACAAAACAAAACCAAACAAGGAGCTGATTTCTTTCCTACCTCTAAACAATGGCATTGAGCAACTACGTTCAGTAGTTGCAACTACAAAGATTTCCAGCCAAAAGTAGTTAGAAGTAATTAAGGAGAAAAAAGACAAGTTCTATAAGAAATCACTGAATCACTGAAGTAACCTATCATAGAACTATTTCTGATATAGAAGATGAAAACTTGCATTTTTTTAGGCACCTTGATTTAAGGTTTTCATTTTTTTGTTGTAGAAAGGTAAAAAGTTGACCTATCCTTTGAGTGTTCACAAGCTCTAGCTACTATCTTTTCCTGATCACCATGGTTTTAGTTTTGATATATTTTTAAAAGGCCTCTTTTTTTCTTTTTCCCTTCTCTTTCTAATCCATACTGAAATAAAACCAAGATGTGATCTGAGCTGAGAAAAATAGTCAACTGGATTTAACTTGCAAATAACAAATAATTGTGGCTCTCTTCTTTACCCATTTCATTATTTTTTTTTCTTGCATTAATTCAAATACCAAAGGAAAAAATAACTACATTAACTTAAGACCTTTCTGGTCCAAGGATTTTTGTCTATTTTTCTGAGCCATAAAGCTATCTTCAAAGTAATTACCTGCAGTTCATCGACAGTTGACAGCTGTTAAACAAGGAAGATTTACTCTAAAAGTACCCTTTTAGAAGCCTAGAAGTCAAGGCTATTTTGTTTTAAGTACTTTCAATTTGCTATTAGTAGACATAACTGAACTGTGGGTCTTGAGAAAAACATAACAAAACAAAACAAAACCCAAAACTTTCTTTAGAATAAAGAGATGAGTTCAAAGCACTGAGCATTTTTTTTTTTATCTATGGAAAAAAATGACTGAAGAATGCTCTCTTTGGTTTACTGTAGATCCAACATAAGTTAGAAAATGATTCAGTGAGTTGGCTATGGTTGGAGCAAAGATTGATTTAACAGTTTGGCTACAAGGATGAAAGGAAATCACAGTTACTAGTCTCATCTAAATGAGTCAGTGAGTAGCACTGTCCTACATTTCTTTAAATCTTAATGATGTCATTATTTTTACAGCATTGGAGGTACAGCTAGTGTCCTTGTTTCTCTGGATATGCTCAACTGATTGAGAAGGAACTCTGGCTTAAGTGTATGTGCTTATAGAAAATGCACTGGCCCCACAAGGGCAATGTAGGTCTCCCAAGTACCTGGGAAAATCTGGGACACAATCTGAAAAAAAAAAAAAAAAAAAAATACTGTATTCTCTATCCTGAAATCTGCATTATTATAATTTCTCGAATGGAAAAATTACTGTAATACCTTCCATGCCAATGTTCTTGGAGGGATTATTTGCAGCACAATATATTTACCTGCAATGCATGCATTGGCATGGACTTTTCTTTCTAATGGAAAGTACTGT